GGCCCCTGGTTTAAGCCATGAAGAAGAGGCTTACTCAACCTGACCTTCCCAAGATCATGAAGCCGACTCCTCATCCCGATAAAACCTCTTTTATTTAGATTAAAGGGAATTCCTCTCCAGCAAAGTCCCGGCCAACAGTCTTTCAAGAGATTTCCCAACTCCAGACTTTATCAGGCTTGGAGAGCTGCCAGGCTGATATCTTCCAAACTCCATGCTGTGGCAGCAATTCCTTGGCAAGGAGTCAGGAATAGATCTTCACCCTAATGAATTGAACTCCTGCAAACTCCATTCCCCTTTTGCTCCTCTTTATTCCCTATGGGAGGGGCCATTCACTGTCCACTTGTGGCTTTATTCCCGAGTCGGCCCTTGTTCCTTACCTGTTCCCTTCTCCTGGCAACTCTGCACATGTGCACATTGGGAACAGGCTCCAGCTGTTCTTCTGCCCCACTGATCTCTGACTCTGAAGGCAGCTGATAACTGTCAGACGGCCCTGGCCCCCTCTCTGACTCTGACACAGAGCCTTCATCAGAGCCTTCCCCAGACTCCAGGACTGGCCCAGGTTCCTCCCCAACCTCCTCACTGTCTGAGTCTGCCACCAGCTCCACTGGCCGCTGGTGGGCCACAACAGGTCACTAAACAGACAGTGGTAAGTCAAGGACTATCGGTATACCGGTTTAATGTAATTTTCTGCTGTTCCCCCATTCCCCTGGTTTCTGAATCCACATGCCCAGTATCCCTTAGAATCATTTATACTTTCCTTGCTTTTCCTCCAGGCTAATTAAGGGATTTTCTTTCATCGTGTTAAATATTAAAAAAAACACCAAAAAAAAACCCACAATAAGTGACAGAACACTATCCCAGCCTTTTTCTAACCTTTTGTTCCGTTCTAGCGATGGTACAGTTGGCTCTGACGCCAGCACATTTTAAATTCCTGCCTCCTCCTCCTCTTCGTATGGCTGGCACGCTTTATTCCGCCTGCTATTACACAGCAAAGTCCTCTCCAGCACGCAGCCTTACTCCAAGGAAAAGCACACGCGCGCACACACACACACACAGAGAGACACACACAAACATTGCTGACTTTACGATCAGGGGAATAGAAAACCTCACCGTTTGAGGTTGCAAACCTCAGAATTGTGCCAGAATAGCAATAACACACGGAAGGAAGGAAGGAAGGAAGGAAGGAAGGAAGGAAGGAAGGAAGGAAGGAAGGAAGGAAGGAAGGAAGGAAGGAAGGAACGAGCAATAGCAGTAGCATTTAGACTTATATATCGCTTCATAGAGCTTTTACAGCCCTTTCTGAAGGATTTGCAGAGTCAGCCTCTTTCCCCCAACAATCTGGGGCCTCATTTTACCCACCTCGGAAGGATTGAAGGATGAATCAACTTTGAGCCGGTCAGGATTTAACTGCTGAAAGTGGGCAGAATTCAGGGGTGGCTTCTTGTACCGGTGGTACCACTTCGCTGTGTGCTAGCTTTGCTCATGTGCGTGCCCACCGCACATTGCTCATGCATGTGCAGTTGACTATACATTCTTCTGCGCATGCACACAAACATACCAGCAAGGACAGAAGAGACTGGGGAACTGGTTCAGGGGCGTGGCCAGCCTGAGTAACTGCCGGTTCTGTGACCCAGGCCAAATTACCACTACCGGTTCAGCTGAACCGGGCCGAACAGGGAGCAACCCACTTCTGGCAGAATTTGTCTGCAATACAGCATTCTAACTAATGAGCACCATGAAAGGAAGGAAAGGAAAGGAAAGGAGAAAGGAAAGGAGAAAGGAAAGGAAAGGAAAGGAAAGGAAAAAGGAAGAGCAATAGCAGTAGCATTTAGACATGTACTGCTTCACAGTGCTTTAGCAATAGCAGTTAGACTTATATACTGCTTCATAGGGCTTTACAGCCCTCTCTAAGGGATTTACAGAGTCAGCCTATTGCACCCAACAATCTGGGTCCTCATTTTACCCACCTGGGGAGGATGGAAGGCTGAGTCAACCTTGAGCTTGCTGAGATTTGAACTGCCAAATTGCAGGCAGCCAGCAATCAGCAGAAGTAGCCTGCAGTATTGCACTCTAACCACTGCACACCATGGAAGGGAAGGAGGGAGGGAGGGAAATAGCAATAGCACCTAGACTTATATACCACTTCACAGTGTTTTACCAACCTTGGAAGGATAGAAGGCTGAGGCAACCTTGAGCTGATGAGAATCGAACTGCTGGCAGTGGGCAGAGGGAAGGAAGGAAGGAAGGAAGGAAGGAAGGAAGGAAGGAAGGAAGGAAGGAAGGAAGGAA